TGTGTGTGTGTGTGTGTGTGGCCAACTCAGCCCACCAGGGGGCGGGGCTGGCTGGCATGTGGTGCTGGGGGATTGAACCGTGGTCCCTGTGCTTTGCTGAGCTTGTTCTAAGTAGGTGCTTTAGACCACTGAGCCATCTCACCAGCCCCAGAGCCTGTGTTCTCTGATGCACACGCATCCTGAGATTACAATTAAATCTGCAGTCTGTACCGGGAAGATAGTTCTGCAGTCTAAGTGACTGGTTGGCAAGTGCAAAGACCCAAGTTTGATCCCTGGTACCACATGCCGTGCCAATCCTGGAAACCAAGGTGTGGTGGTACATGCCTGCAATCTCAGCATGGGAATTGTCCTGCCCCTCTTGCCACTTAGAACAGTCTATTTGGAAAACCAGAAAAATTCAGACCCTGGTTAGTTGCTTCATTCCATTATTGTCATTGCCATTGTGTCAAACTATATTAGCCTAGGATTTTTACCTCCTGTGTGGATTGAAAGGGATCCTTTTTTTAGATTTCTGTTATGAGGGCTGCTGAGAGCAAATCAATGGTGCTGAATTGCATGATCCAGAACTTTGATAAATTTAAAGGTGAATATGGGGTAAAAATGACAAAACAAAAGCTCAACATGCTATGTAAAAGAGAATGGCCTTCCTTTGGAATAGGTAGACCAGCTGAGAGAATGATCAATCTCACATAGCCAGTAGAGTATGGGAGATAGTAGCAGGGAACCCAGGACACCCACACCAGTTCCTCTATATTGCCTCCTAGCTCTGTGTGATTATAACGTATCCTCAATGGCTTAGGATATATGCATGTGAAATTCCTGACCGTGTACTGATTATGATAGAAAAGTCTTTAGAACCCAAGCTCCTTGTTCTGCTGTGAGCCCTCCTTGTGGACTTGGGTTTAACTCTTAAGACTGTATAGGCCATTAACCCTGCTTCTCTACTGCCAATGTCATTGGAGCCCCAAACCATGATTGGGTAGAGACTATTGAGGTTGTGTACTCTGCAAGACCTGGCCTGAAGGACATGATCCTTCAAGACCCCAATCTCATCATGTTCTCAGGTGGTAGCAGCATGGTAATAGAAAGGTATGGAGGGCAGGGGCCACAGTTGTGACAGTAGAATGGATAGTACAGTCAATAACACTGCCTCTTGGTATGTCAGCCCAAAAAGCTGAACTGATCATGCTTACCTGGGCTTTGGAACTGGGGAAAAACAAGAGGCTAAACATTTTCATGAATTCCCAGTATGCATTTTCCACTTTACATGTACATGGTGCCATGTACTGGAAAACAGGTCTCCTAACTACATGAGGAAAAGACATTAAAAATTTGCAAGAGAAACTGAACTTGCTGCAAATGGTATGGCGGCCCACTCAGGTGGCAGTAATACACTATCCTAAACATCAAAAAGGAATTCCATCAAGGCCCAAGGCAACAGGCCACTCATTTGGCAGCAAAATGAGCAGCTAGGGGAGATTTGCTGCCAGAATCGTGTGTGATGGTAGTCCTCCTTCAGCCACTGAAGTATTCTGAGACTGAGTTACCATGGGCCAAATCAGAAGGGGCATCACAAAGAAACGTACGGTAAATTCTGCCAGAAGAAAGAGTGTTTCTACCTCAACACATGGGACATTTTGTGATTCAGGAGCTACATAATAAAATCCATCTGGGCAAGACAGCTATGGTGAAACTGCTTGGCCACCACTTTTCTATATCCAGACTTTGGACCCTGTGTGCCTCAATGACCAGTAAATGTGTGACTTGTGCTAATAACAACCCAGTTTCTTGCCCACAGTGTGAACCAGGTGTCCCTGACAAGAAACCTCCCTTTCAATACATTGAGGTGGATTCCACTAAGATCAAGTCTATGGTTGGAAACAAAAAGTATCTGTTGGTGCTTGTTTGTACCTACTTAGGATGGGTAAAGGTCATGCCAGCCAGAACTGAGATCTCCAGAAAGGTGGCAAAAGCATTAATGGAATTGATTATATCCTGGTATGGATTCAGGTTCAGCTAGATAATGGACTTACTTTTGTAGGTAGAGTGGTTCAGAGCCTCTCCTCTGTTTTGGTCCTAAAATGGAAGCCACATACTGCTTACCAGCCTCAGAGTTTGGGCCAAGTAGAACAACAGAATCACACTTGAAAGAGCACTCTGTCCAAACTGTGCAATGAAACAGTCACAAATTGGATGCCTATGCTTCCATTGGCCCTGCTGCAGTCACACTACACCCCATACCTGGATGGGCTCATTCCTTTGGAAAGCCTTTTTGGAAGGCCACCACTCTTGGTGCTGGTGTTGGAGAAACTACAAGAAACTGGGACTCTGACCCTGCAACAGCAGCTGCAGGCACTGCAGAGGACTTTCAGGACTATAATGAACTGTATTAGCATATCACCCTCTTCTTCATAGCCCTGCGCACTCTTTTGAGCCTAGGGACTGAGTGTTAGTCAGAAGTTAAAAAGAGTGTTGTTTTTATGCTAGCAACTTGGAGCTATTATAAAGACTCTAGACAAACTAGATCATGATGCAAAAGAGAGAAAATGTTATATAATAGCTATGATGACCACAAAAGCTAGACTGCCATCTTATTATTATTATCATTATT